CTTTCCTGGCTCTTACACACTGTCAAAGCAGATTCATCTTGTTAGTCTTTTGGCAGATTTTTTTTCTTCATACTTGAAGAGCACAAGTGCAACAAACTGTTAATTACAGCTTATTGTGAAGTCTTCTCTATGCTCTCATTTTCCTTTAAAAAACATGCTCATGGAAGTATGTTAAGATTACAGTGACCTTAACACCACTTAAGACAATGTTTGATTGCACAATTTAAAGCAACTGAAATCCTGGTTCCCAGTTAACTCTGTGCTGCTTGCCTTAACTTTTGCTGCCCTCCACCACCTTACTTGTTTACATGCTGGCCAGAAACAAGGGCCCAGAAGACACTTGTATGCTGGTCAGCATATGTGACACCCCAGACACCTTATCTTCTCTTAAATGTAGAACTAATTGGCATCTACCTGACTGGGCATCAGGACAAATTGAGGCACTCCTAGGGAGTGATTTATCTGACTGGCCTTTTTATGGTTCCTGTGGCACTAGAGGGCTGGAGACTACTTGAACAGTGTCTAGCTCTAGGCAGGACATGATCAAGACAAGCTTTTGGACCTTTGGTGCACCTTGTGGTTTCCCAGTGGTGTCTGAGGCCAGGGATGTGGAGGGTGATATATGACAGCAATATGGATTTTCCAAAGCCCACACACACACCCATGCCCTCTGACCAGTATAAGAAAGGTTTTTCAGACAAGGAGAGTGCTTCAGACAGTGTAGAAATTTGGCCAATGTAGATGAGTCATGAAGATTACATTTTTCTTTTTCTTTTCAACAGCTGTGTAGTGGAGGATGATGGCACACACTGTTATCTTGGCATTACAGTACGGGTGAATGTGTCTCAGAGGTTTTATAGGGGTAAGATCTGGATGAAGAGCATGGTGAGATGTCATGGTCAGACTGTCAGAGGTGCCTCTCCTCCATTAGGGGGCAAGAGCTTTGGCTCTTTCTGTCCATTGAAGCAAATATTTTCCCTTTTCCCTCTCTTTCTTGAATTGAAATCAGAGATGAGCTGTGAGTCCTCTCCCTTCATTTGCTTTCACCCACTCCTACCAACATCTTCCTGACCTGGAAGCAAACTACTGCCCCTGCTTGGGAAAAGATCCGGAGCTTCACCAGGAAGGGTGAGTGTCCAGCCTAGGGGTGGGCCAGAGGAAGGAGTCACTGGGTAGCAGCAAGTTCAGAGAAGATCATCCTAAGATGTCTCATCTCCTTTACATCCTGCTCTGCCCATGCAGGAGGAACTCTCTGAAGAGTTATCTTTTGTGAAAAATCCCTGAAAAGTCCCTGAACTGGGAGTACTCTTCCCTAGATGCAAGGTGGAGCTCAGCTCCTGGCTGGCTGTGGGGAGGCAGAGCTCCCTCTCTCTGAACAAGTCTTCTCATCCCACCTCATCATCATAACATGCTACTCTCATTTCTCTCTGGAGCATGACCTGCTTCAGTCCCTGAACTCTAATGCTAATTTTCTTCAAATGTTCTTAGCTAGACTCTGGATGAATTTATTCCAACACTTTCCAGAGTCCAGACAGACCTTATGTTCCTGTTTCAGACAGCACTTCCTTGCCTGGAGGCCACAAATCTCACAGACCTGATTTCTCAGATCAGAGTAGTGCTAAGAAAAACCTTTTGGTGTTCTCCAGATGTTTCATAGCTGAAAGCTCAGCCATGTTTTAAGTCAGATGACTGCAAAAACATTCACTATGTCTCACCATAACTATAAAGCAGCCACATTTCATTTTTCTGAAGACAAATCTGGATGATGCTTGTCCTTTCCCCTGCAATAACAATCATCTCAATTTTATCTGGGCAATTTGAAACACTATGTGTGTTCTTCTAGATGATGTGACCTGATCTGTCAGCCAAAGACAAAACTGGCTTCTCAAGAGCACCTTTTAATATTCATAGCCTTAGGAGATCTCTTTTCCCCAGGTGATGCTGGTTAGGGCCTTGGTGTTTATTTAAAAAAAAAAGTTCTCAAACCTCACACAAAATTTTCCTTGTAGTTGGTTATATTCCTCCTCTTGTTCTCTGTCTTTATTATTCACCAAATACTTAGTTAGTGCTTATGCTAAAATCCAGCCACCCGGGTTGTCACGAGGTCCCTTATTCCACTGTACAAAGTTTGTCACAAAATAATAAAAGAGTTAACATTTCTATGATGGAACTGAAAAAGAGCAAACCCCGTAATTCTGCTATGGGCTTTGAATAATCTTGATTTGTTTAGTTTATGATATTATGTTTCTCAGGTCACTCAGGGCATATCTTGAATTAGTTGATGCTTTTGCAATGATCATCAATGAAGTATTTGTTATCACTGTTAATATTCATTGTATGTCTACTTTGCCAGTCGTGTGGTGTAGAGATCTCCATGCCAGACTATTTCTGGCATTCTTTTCTCAGATGGGCAGGTGCTAATATCTGCATGCAGCATTGCAGCTTACAGGATAGCTATACCTGAACAGGACAATTTATATTGTCAGAGATCCCTGTAGAATAAAAGGTTAGAAGTGTGCTGTCTTTTAAAAGAAATATGAGATTCTGGAGCAAAGCTTGGTGGTCAGAGATTAAATCATTGCAAGTTCTGGCTGCAGTAAAAGGAACCTTCAGTACCAATAGCTTGGACTTGCAAGCTAGTAATCCTACAGTGAAATATGTGGGCCCTGGAGTTGACACATTGCTGCATTACTTTCAAAGCATGTGGAAGCTTGCTGGTAGGGAAGTACATGCTTTTTCTTCTGGAGCTGTGTTGAAGGTCCTGTCTCCTTCAGGTCAGCTAGCTCTAGTGCCCCAACCAGCACCTCCCAACACTCTTCAGCTCAAATAGGTACCAAAGCTCAGGCAACATAAATCAAGGACCTCTGCAAATCAGGTTTGTCTGTGCTGAACTGGATCTGCTGGCATGGTGAGCTGCTCTGCCACCAGCTTTGAGGGTGGGTAACACAGTCCTTGTGTGCCCTTCACTGTGATTGTGGGCTTCCCTGCCCAGCATTCTGAATGTGTTTCTGCAGGAATAGACCCTGCCTTTTACTGCTGATTCCTGCAGGGAAAGGAGAGTAAAAACATCTTCCCCCTAGGAGAAAGACCTCTTGACCTGGCTTCTGTCTGGGACCCTGCTGAAGCTTGCCTACAGAGCACTCTGCTCGTTTCTGAGACTTCCCTACACGCCACCCCTTAAGAGGCAATGGTGATTGCATGGCAGCTTATAGGGTGTGCTAGCGGGGTGGGGGGGCAACACAGGAAGAAAATTAATGGCTGCAGTGGAAAAGGGAAGCAGCATGCTTGGAAAAGCAGGAGAAGGCAGTCTGTTTAGTTCAAGTCTTGGGGCAGAGGATTTTCTCCTATTTCAGACAAAAGTCTCCATTGTTGTTTGTGATTTGCTTTTCTGTAGTGAATCCCATCAAAGGTGAGAAAAGACTAAGAAGGAGTCAAGCATAGTCTGGTATGGTCTGCACTGTGTGAAAGAGAAGACACTCTGCCTGGCTCTGCTGTCACATGGATATGAATACATCTTACTTCCTGTCTTCCTCTTTTCTGATTTCTTGGTACTGCTCCTCTGCCTCTCTTCATGTGCCTCTGCAGCCCAGGCAGCTGCTGGATCCAAACCCACACAGGAGAGCAGATGCTCTTTTTCCAGTAAGACTGTGAAAGAGATTGAAAATAGTGGGAGCCCAGCTTCCACAGGATGTGGACTGGACAGCTTAGACTAGTTATGTTTTTTTTTGATCCCTTAGAAGACTTAGGTTTTTAAAGGTCTCAAACTTCCCCTTGCCACTGACTATGACTAGTCAGCCTGGGAAACTGTGTGTGGTTGACAGGTCATTGGGAAAAGTATGTAGGAGGATGTGAGATGCTTCCTAACATTTTCTACATCAGGGCTGCAGTGTGCTTTGCAGGGAGGTTGATGTGGAGCTGTGCTGCAGCCCTGGGAGGTGGTGGTCCTGGAAACAGCATTCTGAGTGCCCACAGAACGAGTCTGGCAAATGAATTTTGTACTGTGCTGTACTTCAGGAAGCAAGCAGTGTGCAGATAAATCTCAAAGGGCAATTTAGCAGAGCAGGTTGCAATTACACTTAGAGGCATGTGGTCAGGAGGAAAGTAGGGCAAAATGTTATTTAGAAGCCCTGATGACATTTTCCATACTGTAACACAAATACTCTAATCCACTCATCAGGTGCCTTGGAAGCACCCACGTTTTCTATCTAGGCCTGTTATCAGGTGCCTTGGAAGCACCTTTGTTTTCTAAACATTTGTTTTCCCTGTAAGTTTTCTCGGTACCTCCTCCTGCTCTTTCAAACCTTAAAGCCATAGTTGCTCAGTAGCTGCACTGTGCCTAAATGTCACTTGGTTTCACAAGCTGCATGCTCTGTTGTTTAAGCTGCCCGCAGGGCTGGATTCAGTGAGCTTTTTACCGCTACAGCTTTAGCAGTGCCCTGTAATGTGGAATTGTACCATCGCTGCCTCTCCAGTGCCATGCTTGTCCTCCCGCACGGCTTGAAAGGCCTCGAGGCTGTGGCGCTGGCCCGGGTGCCAGCCCTTGTGCCACTGTGTGACTGTCGCGTGTGGCAGCGATGGCAGCGGCTGCTCGGGCAGCTCCAGTGTCAGCCCAAGAGCCTTGCTCCCGTCAACCACCACAGCTTCAGTGGCAGATGGGCTCATCTCCATGGAGTGTGCCTACATCCCGTGTGCCATGGGCCGCCACGGTGTATTCGCTGGCCGCCTGCCTTACGGGCACCACTGTGGCAGCACAGGCACGAGTCCCACCGGGGCAGCGGTGCGGAGGGCAGGCCGGTGCGCTGCCATGCCAGCAGCCATCTCCCGGGCTGAGCCCGTGCCATCCGCTCCCCGCCACCGGGCCCAGCCGCTCCGTGGCCGCCGCAGCCCCTTCGGCAGCCGGGCCCCGCGGCCCGCGCCGGCCCGGCCGGCAGGAGGAGGAGCAGGAGGAGGCGCGGAGCCCTCCGCCCCCTGCGGCGGAGCGGGAGACGCGTTAGGACCCGGCGGCGGCGGCTGGGCGGTGCGGGCCGGGGCCAGGGCCGGAGCGGGAGCGGTGAGGGGCGGGGGAGCCGCGCCGCCGCCTCCTGCTCTCCTCTTCTTCCTCCCGCAGCCGCCCCTGCCCGTCGAGGCAGCGCTCCCAGGCTCCCCCGGGGCGCTCGGCATGAGGAGGATCAGGGCTAATGCCATCGCCATCCTGACCGTCGCCTGGATCTTGGGCACTTTCTACTACTTATGGCAGGACAACAAGCCCCGCTCGGCGGCTGCCGGCAGGTCCGCCGGGGGCGGTAGCGGCGGCGCCCGGAGCGGGCAGAGGGCGGCCGGCAGGCTGGAGCTGCGCCGGGAGGAGAGGACCATCCCCCTGATCGTGAGTGAGCGGCGGCCGCCTGCATCCCGTCCTGCCGCGGCCGGGAGGATGCTCGGGGAGGGAGCCGCCGGCGCGGGGCTGCGCTTTGCCTTCGGGTTGCTTTCTGTTTATTTTAGCATTCGTGCTTGTCACCATGGCAGCCGCTACAATCGGGGAGCAGGGTGGGCACTCTCGGGGGAATAGAGTAATGCTGTGGGTAAAGTGTTTGCGAGTTGTCTCCGCCGCTCTCAGCCCGGGCTCTGCTCCTCCGGCTGAGAGCGGCTGCCCTTGGCCGGGGAAAAAGGCGGGTGAAACAGCTGGAAGGATTTTAGTTCGCGTTCAGAAGGTGCTCCCATACAGATATGTATCACAACGCATGCATGCGATCACAGTGCTTTCCCGTCAGGAGCGGCTGAGAGCCATGACCTCTCACCAGCCCTTCCTCCGGCCAGCCGGGCTGCGGGCGCCGGGCCGGGGGATGCGAGTGACCGCCGCTGGTACCAGCCTCTGCCTCGTCCCTCCGCTCGGCTGCCAGCGCGGGGACCGGGCGCCCCTCGGGACTTCAGTCAGTTTCACACCAGAGGCAGCAGTCCGAGGCGGGCTCAGGCTAGATTTGGGCAGGGAGATGGCGAGAGCCCCCAGAGCTCCATTCCTAACCCGGGGAGAGGTAGCAGTGCCCTGATGTGCTACTTCAGTTTTGTTGAAAGCACCACACTCTGCCCTCCTTGGGTATCTGTGGGCTCAGTAGGGGGATAAAATTGAGCTCCTGACTTGAGGATGATGACGACCTTTCTGCTCTGTCCGTGGGGGTGATTTGTTCTCCCTTCAGCTTGTATAATAGCACCAATAAAGCTTTCCCAACTCTAGGCAATCGCTTCATAAAAAATAAATCAGCCCCTGGAGCAAGAAGTGGCCCAGCAATACCATTTCCAGGAGTGATCCAGCTGAAGCTGTTCGGGAGCTGCACTGTGTGTCACTCTTTGGCTGTGAATCCATTTGTCAGCTGGTTACGCACACATGGAAGCGAACAAAAGCAGCAGCCCGGTCAGAGTCGAGCAGGGGCCAGGCGCCAGGGCTGCCCGCCTCCCTCCTTGGCTGGCACTGGGATTTTTTGGCCCGTGTCTCGCTTTCTTTCACCTGTAAAGCGGGGATGGGAAGTGTTTATAGGTGTTTGGGAAGCCCTGTGAATGTTTGGAAAATGCTGTCAGAGCAGTCCCAGCCCTGAGGCAGCAGGGTGGAAACTCTTCAGCTGAGCCCCCTGGCCATTGCTTGCAGCTGCTGAAACTCAAAAGTCAAGGCTGAGGCTCTTGGACAGAGCACTCCTGTTATTTGCTGCTCACTAGGGCTGGGGGCTGCCGGCAGTTCAGGCTGCTCTGCTTTGGAGCCTCTGTGGAGCAGGACTGTGGAAGTGAACACGGTGAGGAGCTCTGTGCAAGTGCTGCTGTTGCTGAAGCCCTTTGGGTGCACTGGGAAATGCTCTTAGGCTGGCCAGGGCTGAGTTGAGGATTTGGAGCAGTCCTGCTTTTTTGATTCCACCTTAGTGGCAGAGGAAGCTGCCCCTGAGCCTCTGATTTCTTGTGTGAACTTGAACATGCTGGTGTAGCAGTTTTATTTCTCTGTTCCCCCGCTTATCCCTTCTGGTTTTTTATAGCATTTACTTTACTCCCTCTCAGAGGGCTTGTGAGGTTACATGAATCCATATTGTCTGCCAAGCACCTTAAAATCCTCATGAGGAGGATGCTGTGGCAGTGCCACACGTGATTATGTTGCTGCTGTTTGAGGGGGCAGTATGTGCTCATGGCTAACCACAAAGCCTCTCCTTACAAGATACACTGCTGCACAACAGCCACTCCAAATCTGGTCCTGCTCTCCAAACTGTGTAAATCATTCCAGTGCTGCTCCATGCCTGAAATCCCTTAGCAAGGAAAAGCAATCATCCTTTGCATCTCAAGCCCCTCTGTAACTGGGGTCCTAGGATGTGCCAGCCCTCCCACCAGGGCTTTCAGTAGCAGCTGAGATGAAGGAGGACCATCTCCTTATGCACCTGGTAGTGGGGCATGGTGCAAATTTCACATCCTGACCTGCCATGATGTATTTGGATAGAGAAGGAAACAGGAAGGGTTTGTGGTGTTTGGGTTTTCCCTCTAGCACGCAGGTTTCCCAAGGGTTTGGTGGGTTGCTGTGAGAGGCAAGGTGGTAAAATGCAGTGTGTGTACTCATGTAACTATGCAGTGCTATGGCTGTGGGAGCCTGACAGGCTTAGCAGTGATGAGGCTTGCACAATGAGCTGTCCCAGCCTTGGCCTCTGCCAGCGCTGCTGGGGCAGGAGCAGGGAGGTGACTGCGTGTGGGCACAGGGCAGGAAGGTTGGTGGAGCTGTGGGGACAGCACTGTCCCTCGGAGTGTGGCATCTAGCAGGGTCTGAGCAGTGAGCCTGAGGGCTGGTCAGGCCAGGGCAGTAGCTGTGCAGACTGTCCTCAGCATGTGGCCACCTTTGTTCCCCAGCTCAGTGCACTAGCCTCTCCCAGCCAGCACAGGAAATGTGCCAGTTCCATTGCCCCAGTGGAGAAATAACAAACCTAGAGAAGCAGCTGTCCTTTGGCAGCAGAGCCCTCAACCCCGAGTTCGTTCCCCTCAAAGTCAGATTATCTGATTAATGTACGATGGTGGTCGTGTATAAAGAGCACGCTCGTGCTCTGCGTGCTCTCTATCCCCTGGCTCTCTGCAAAGCCAGAGACAAGCTGCCCATTTGGATTCAGCTTCTGGTTTCCTCTGCTCTGCATGAGTGACGATGTTGGAGTTCAGGTTTGGGCTCATCTGCAAATAAGGGTGACTCATGTGACTTATTGGTCTCTGGAAAAATATTTTTTCAATTTTCTAAAATTGGCTGCTTTTCTGCCTGGGAAAAAGAAAAAAATCTTTCTTTTGGATAAGTGAGTCCAAGAGTTCTGCTCTTGTATCCATGCTATGACATTTCAAATCCTGGGCAAGTGAAAGTGTATTGCATGGGTTTAAAAACTGAAGTGCTTTCTGGGCTTCTGTTTTTCTTCTTTATTCTCTCTTAATGTGAAGAATAAAAATCATCTCAGGTAAACACTGTAGTCAATTGCAAGTCTCAGCTTGAAACAGTTTTTTATTTGTTGACCTCATATTTATTAGCACAACTTTGAACTTAAAATCTGGATGTCTGACTCCTGGAGTCAGCAGGGAAATCTTTGAATATTTAAGCTGAGGCATGGAGCTGTCAGAGATCAGTGTCCCAGAAACAGCTTGTGCATTAATAGTGATCCTACAGATATCTGCTTTATAGATAGAAATCTTGACATGTGGCCTCTCTGCAATAAGCTCTTCACAAACAGGCTCTACAGATGCTTGAAATGAAAATTCAGATATTGGCAAATGGCAGGGTTCTCTTGGTGACATGACAAGCCCCTGCATGCTTCTCCTTCCACTTACCACGGAGAGTAGAAACACAAGTGAGTACCACGTTTTTTTCTCCAGAGCACATCATAGTTTCATATAGATTAGAAGGAGCCCTAAGACCTCTGAGAGTTAGCTTGTGTGTTTTTGGAAGATGAGCTTCCTCCCTGGACTCTTTTCTGTCTTTTCTAGGCAAAAGGTTGTTTCCTGTCTCCAGGAAATTTCCAAAGGCCAGAAGCTGTGCTATGTCTTGTTAGAAGGGCTTTGGCATCATTCCTGCACTATGTACAGGTGGTTCATTGTTCACCATGTGCTGCATATTGCTTTAGGATGGCAGTGATGAGCAGAGCCCAGGGCTCTGTTCCTCCCTGTCCAAAGACTGCAGCAAGGCAGGCTCGCCCAGCGCACTCGTGTCCCAGTGAAGAGACGAGGCCATTGCTGCAGCGTGGGCAAAGCTTGTTAGCGCGAGGGATGGTTGGTAGGCAGCTTTGAAAGAGGGATTTTTCTGTTGGCTGACTGTGAGCTGAGGGTGGGAGTATTTTCTCCTTTTCCCTAGTCAAATGCAGGATGTGAGGTTGCCCACAGGGTTCTCCAGCTTGCTGACTTCTCTGGGGTGGCAGGGAAACAGCAACATGCCTGGAAGGTGGAGATAAAAGTATCATTATTTAAATGCTCTGAATTGTGTTAGGCTTGTGCCCTGTTGCTCTTTGGAGCAAGTATGATGCCTCTTATCTTTGTAAATTGCTCTTTGGATTTTGGTGTGTTGTCTCTTGTCTCCATCCTGCCAGCTTTGTGAGCTGTGTAGCTGCTCTGTGAGCCCACTGGAGCCAGTCTGGCAGTGGAGAGGCCCTGGATTGTAATGCTGGCTCAGGTGACCTGAGCTCAGCCCTCCTGGCTGCTCCCTACCTCTGTGCTCAGCCAGGTAAAATGAGCACTGGGGAGATGAGATCAAGGCACCCTTTTTCCTTGTAGCTAAGGGTTTCTAAATGCACTGCAAACAGCACTGAACTGTGTGTCACAAGCCTGTGGTGAGACAGCAAGCAGGAGACTCCACTGGGATGCTTGGCTCAGAACAGGTGGTGTGTGTAGGCAAAGAACAAGTTGGCGAGGAAAGATGTCAATTGTTTAATTCCCACATCTTGTTTAGCCAGAAAACAGGCAGTGGCTGGGCTTTACCTGCTTCTCTGAATTGCCAAACTGGCACATTTAGCCATGCTTGTATTTGCCATCAAGTAAGACCACCTTGATGTACGCTCTTCAGACCCTGGAACATCTAGTTAACAGCACGCTCTGCTGCTTTTGTTTCGTGTTGCCTTTGGCTCCTGGGTATCTGAACCCACAGAGCAGGTGCTGGCTGATGTTCACCGCTTGGTCATGCATGAATTTATTCTCATCCCTTCATCACATTTCCTCTGTGCACAGCTTTCAGAGGATGCTGTTTTCCTCACAACTGGGATAAGCTGCAACTTTAATGGTTTGCTAAATGATACAATTTTTCAGGGACCTGTATCCCATGAGGCTCCTGCATGTGTGCCTCCCTGGAGGCAGGTCTTCTAGCCTCAGGCATGTAACTCCAGGTGGATCCTTAATAAATAAAAAACC